TCACACGTTAAAACGTAAGATCTCGTTAGTCAAATTTTAATATGAATCTAGGAAATATCTCATTGAATTTTTGATATATTTCATTGCTTCTGTATGTTTAAAACTTAAAATTTCTCAATTCTGCATTATAGTGAGAAAAAAATTTCCTTGGTTATATGATAACCCAAGGCAGCTATGAATTGTTGCATGTCAAATTGAAACGGGACAGTTTTTCCATGTTGAATACGCAATGTCGATGATAAGCGCGCAACATCTACTTAGGTCATGAAAACGTTTGCCGGCGTTTCCATGACAAACAAACACTGTACAATGATTAATATTGCTGTCAGTTTGCCAAATGCGGTTTTATTTCAAATTTAGATGTCATTTTGAAGAAGTTAAAAGATCTATATGAGTGAAACGTCAATTTAATTAATTGAAAGTTAGCTATCAAACTGACATACAAAATATTTTTTGCTGCGATAATTTCGAAGTTTTTTCCACAAATACGACTATTTCTGGTGGATGATCAGCCATTCACCAGTAGTTACATATCTCCTATTAGTGAGTGCGTTGGTTGTAGTGCGCAAGGACCCTCCAGACTTCTGGTGAGTGCGTTCAAACTATGACTTTCTGGAACTGTTTATCGCCTACCCTTGGAATATCAAAGGGTGTGAGTTTTTCGACAGCAGTATAGAAGAACTGCTTGACAGCCTTATAGCCAGAGACAGGGGTGAAGTAATTACCTTCATGGGTTTATTGCTTGATCGCCTGGGCCTGAGTCCATCAGAACTGCTAAACAGCAGCTCCGTGGTGGCAGTTCGGGAGCCCTCTGGCCCTCTACCAGGGGCCAAGGAGCTTCTTGAGCGTCCGTCACGGAATGTATCCTCCAGAGATACTCCCAAAATCTAAATCAGGTTGAAAACCCCAACGATCAGGGACCTAGCTTCCCTCTCCTTCCGCGTCCTGAGGTGCCCTAAAGCACCAGAAAAACACGCGTTCCCCCAATTGTCGTTCGCCAGAAAGACAAGTGGGTTCAATTCACAAAGCTGGCTGCCTTCAATAAGGTGAAGCTTACCAAGGCAGTAAACATGGCTGACGGCATCAAGGTTCAGCCTTCTACGGCCGAGGACTACAGGAGTATGTCAAAACTATTGGTGAGGGAAAAAATTCCCCACCACACGTATACCTTACCTGAAGACAGGCAAATCAGAGCCGTCTTCAGAGGAGTCCCGGAACATCTGGAGACCGCTGACATCGAGGACGCCTTGGTTGAAAAAGGTTTCCAACCATCATTCGTCATCAGGATGATGCGAGAAAATCGACCGCTCTCCCTGGTTTTGGTTCAAGTGAACCAAAATCAGAAGCATATTTATGACATCCGGGATATCCTTAACGTTGAAGTTGAGGTTGAGCCCCAACACCAAAAAACACTGGTAGGGCAGTGTCACCGATGTCAGCAGTTCGGGCATAGCCAACGGAACTGCCTAGCTAGTCCCATTTGCGTCAAATGCGCCGGCAGACACCTTTCAGGTGAGTGCAAGAAGCCACGAGCAGATCCGCCAAAATGCAATAATTACAAAGGTGTGCATACTGCAAACTACCACGGTTGTCCTGAGTTCCCCAAGGTTCGCAGAAGGACCAAAGTAGCTTCAAATGCCCCCCGAAGTACACCCACACCTGGAATGCATCTTGCTGAAGCATCTGGCACACGCCCAGGAATGAGCTACGCAGGAGCAGCCGAAAGCGGTAACACCTCCGCCAGGCCGACCGAGACGCCCAGTAGACCCCGCCCGTCGAAAGTTAGTGACATATGTTCCACTCTGGATCAGATGAAGAAACTCTTCATTCAGTTCCCCATACTCGAAAAGATGTTTACGGTGAACACCGACGTGCTAACTGGAAGCTCCAGCTAACTGGAAGCTCCAACTGAGAAGAGATCGTCATAGACCTCAGTTTACAACCCTCCGCTCCAACTGAGAAGAGGTCGTCATAGACCTCAGTTTACAACCCTCCGCGGAATCGTCTACTCCCAGAATCACAGCCCACGTTCTACCGTGGGGATTTGAGGCCTGACGTGCTTGATATCGCACTTCTCAGGAACGTCTCCATGTCCTGCGAAGTGTACACTTTGTCAGAACTTGTCTCAGCTCATAATCCAGTCACCCTGTTGCTGGGTGATGATCCCCCTCCCCAGGATTATCGCATGAGATCATCCACGGATTGGGAAGCCTTTAAGGCTCACCTAATGGAGACACGTACAGACCGTGATGCGCTTCAAATTCGCAACGGTCTCGACGCGGCAGTGACATATTTCGAATTGTCTGTGAACAACGCTTTCCGCGCAGCAACAACCAGGACAGAGTGTCCTCTGCGGAGCTACAATGAGTTTTCTCCCAGGATAAAGAATTCAGTGGACTCTCTACCCTGGAGACAAGGCTGCGGCTAACAGGATGGCCAACCAGGTTAAACAGGCCATCACTGACTATAGAAACGAGAGGTGGAGCGAGTGTTTGGAATCGCTCGAACCTGGGGATGGCTCTGGCGAGTCATCCGCAGGCTCGAGAAGGGGAAAACCACTTCCTCTCCTCTTCACGGACAGCGCGGCATCTGCTACTCCCCTGCCGAGAAGGTGTTGGCCTTTGTAGGCACAATGGAGAGTCAGTTTCGACTTAACGTTGATCCGGATGATGATATTGACTGATATCTGGCTGAATCATCGGGTTCGGCGTACCCTTAGGGAAAATGATGACGACGTGATCCGTCCAGCTTCAGAGGAAGAACTGAAGGAGTACATTAAGGCCTCCAAACCCTAGAAGGCACCGGATATTGATTCAATCAACAACAGTTTTTTGAAGCAGCTCCCGGAGAACTTCATTAGATACCAGCTGGACATAATCAACAGCTCAATCACTCTCAGATACTTCTCTCGAAGATGGAAGCATGCCGTAGTTGTCATGATTCCGAAACAGGGCCAGAACCTGGTGTTTCCCCAGAATCATCGTCCGATTAGTCTGCTTTGCTCAACGGCTAAGTTGGCTGAACGTGTTGTGCTGCAGAGGCTAACAGAAGAAGTTGAAGACCGAAATGTTCTGCTTGACGAACAATTCGGCTTCAGGAGGGCACTCTCCACCGAGTTGCAGGCCCTGAGACTGGTCGAAAATTCCATCTCATAGCGGAACAACAGGAAGACACTCCATCTCATCCTCCTGGATATTTATTTTATTATCATTATTTACCACGGGTGAGAAATATTAATTCTCGTTAGGGGAATGGAGTAAATAATAGCAATTTCTCAGGTTAGTAGTCAAAAATATATAGTTATACGAGTATATGCTTTTCTATCCGTAAAAAGCCTAGGTGAAAAATTATAGTTGTCTTTTCTTCAGATTAAATAATTAATTATCCGAAAAGCCTGATGACACAATGAAGCAATTTTTCAGTCGTTAAAGGAGGATCATACATGAAGGTTCCCTTCATGCATGCAAGGTGAATAAATAACCAATTAATAGCAACAATGTGAACTACAACTGTTTTTTCTAGTTAAATGGTATGGATCAATAAAGTAAAAAAACATGTTTATATACCAGTCAATTGGGTTAACATTACACAATTTTAAAATTTAATTTGATAATTTTCACATAACCCATTTTTTGATATCCTAGATAAAATTTGTACCTCTGGAAGATGGTTTGTAGATGTGATTTATGTAGTTATTTCATTTTTATATTGTTCCCCTTCTCAAATAGAAAATAAAATATGGGTGGGTAAAGTCACCTCGTGAAGTGGGGCCACTTTGCCTAACAGATGTTTTCTTTGTATAACAAAGCTATAAATAAAAGATGGGCAAAGCCACCTTCTCAGGGTGTTACAAGAACCACAGTAAAGACAAAAATTACTAAAAATAACGAAAATAACTTGTACAGTTGCCAGGACTGTCGACAGAGGTGTTATGAAAGTTTTTAAAATGTTGTGGACAAAATAAGTTGAATGCTTTTGAATAAGTCGATGATTTCTCTATGTGATGAGAAATTAAAAAAACCAAAATCACAATGAATGAAAGGTGGGCAAAGTGACCCCAATTTTCGTGTAAAACGAGGAGTGACATTGCCCACTGAAATAACAATCAACAGGTTGGATACAGGAACGAAATTGCGAGTGGATTAAATTCTTCATTACATTTACTAATAAAATAATAATAAGCGATGAAACTCACCTTGTTTTCGTAGAAGTTGTGTATATGTAATTATGAAGAGCTCAAATTTTCATGGATAATACACGTTACAAATAAAACAGTTAATTGGTGATAGCACTTATCTGGAATGACATACAAACTATAGAATATCTCGTGGTCATTGAGGATGTATGTTCACTGGACCTCAAGTTGTACAACCGTTTACCAGTTGATCTCACTCAGCTCAGTACTCCATCATTCAAGAGGAGAGTTAAAACATTTCTTTTAAAAAACTGTTTTTACTCAACACAGGATTATATGAAAAGTACTTACACTTAATGAATAATTCACTTAATATTACTTTTCATATATATGTTGCTATGTGATGTTCTATAGAACCAATATTGTATTCTACCTAGCAGTTAAGTTTTATTTCAAATGATCGATAATAATTGTATATTATCTTTTAATTTTGTACTCAGTAGAGCGTGCATCTGCACTCTTTTTGACATGTATTGTATGCATAACATGATTAAATAAATTCTGTCTGTCTGTCTGTTTCATTGACTGCAGCGTCTCAAACGACCTTTCAGCTTTTTACTATGGAGCGCGAAACTGTTTTTTCAAAACTTGGCAAAGCTACCCCAGAGGACAAAGTCATCCCAATTGATGGTATAAATTTTTTGGTTTTACTAATAATTACTTTTTATTACCAGTCAATCAAGAAAATAAAACGTTTGAATAGCTACATATTATTTGCCGTGAAGCGTGTATGACTAGACAAGTGACTGTCTCGTTTTCAATAATTTCACATCAAAAATATGATCTACGAACATTTACTTTTTAGGTGCAGAAAGTATAGTAAAATCAGTTATTTAAACAAAGTGGGAAACGAACCATTGAGACCTTTGACAATCGGTAAACTTCTAGAAGAAATCTGCGTCGAACATGGGAAAAAAACAGCTATCATTTCCTGTCACCAAGAAGAAAAAATGGAATTTGACGAAGTTCTCTATCAAGCAGACCGGTTAGCAGCAGGCATGTTGAAAATGGGTTTCCGGCAAGGAGACATGGTGGGGTTGTGGGCACCAAATATGATAGAATGGTACATCTCCTTTATGGCTTGTGCAAGGGCAGGTTTTGTAATGGTAATTATGAATATTCAGTACTTCTTAATCAATTGATAACCCTCAACTTGACTTTATGAACAACTCAAAATGAAGTTTCTTGTTGTTGAAACCAGAGCCCCCAATAACAAAGCAAGCAAAGCAGTGGTCCTATGGTGAACTAGGAATGCATTGTGACTTGTCTTTTAAGGACTCAGCTGCCCTTTGAGGAAGAGGCTGATGAGGAGAAACGATTACATCTTTCCTCACGAAGTTGCCTTCAATAGGATTGAAAGAAGATTCAATCAAAGATTTTGAAGGATAATTGAGGATCCTCAGGAGATCAGTTGCAAAGCCAAGTTTCGTCATCGACCTCCGAAAGAGATTCGTACCAGTGGAAGTGGAAGTTGCAAAAAAGAGGAAGAATTCTGTTTGGCGATCGACTTGACTTTGCAACTGATCGCCTTGTAGAGCCACGCTTTTCTTTGATATCAAAAGATTGATTTTTTGTCGTTGCCATAGAAGGTATCATCGTATCTACTCGATATTCTTTCCCAATGAATTAACGTATATGACATATATGGTTATGATATTATTTTCACGTCCATATCCGGACCACGTTTCACACTGATTAGTTTTTCCCTCAACATTCTTAAGAAGGTATTACTTTTGTTATCACTTTAATTAAAAACCAAAGCAGCGCACGGGATAAGAAAACAC